AAAGAAACATATTTTATCAGGAAGATGGTGAAATCTTAGAACATTAATGAAGTTCACCACTTTGGTAGGAAAAAATTTAGAATTTGGAATAGTTTTTAAAAGATTTTGAAACAAATTAAATGTGTAAAGCAAATTCTCTTATCAAACTAGAAATAACAGAGAACTTTTTAAGCTATAGAAGTGAATGGGCCCAAAATTTCCAGGACACAGTTTACTTAGTGGTGAAATATTAGAAGCGTGTATTTCATATTTAGAATTAGTACAAAGATGCCACTAGTCACAACATCAATATAGTGTCACAGAGGAAGCTCAAATCAATGCAACAGGATACAATAGATAGATGAGTAAATAAATAAGTTTGTAAATAATGAAACAAAACAGATGACCTGATTATCTATAGGAGCATTTACAGTCAAAATAAAATAGTTTATGACACATTTCCTGGAATCAAAATCCACATATAAAAATCAATACCACACATGAGGAATTATTATGAAACATAATTTGAAGGTAATATTATCAAGACATGTAACTACTTTAAGTATTTAAATGTAAGCCTAATGGGGCCAGGGATTTAGCTCAGTGGTTCCGGTGCCGGTCTTGTAAGCACAAGGTCCCAAGTTCGATCCCCAGTACCAAAAAAAAAAAAAAAAAAACTCACAGCAAATGTAAGCCTAATGAACTATATGCTAAATATTTATGTAAAGGATTACAAGATACTGTATAACTGATGGTCATTTAACAAACTGAAAAAATGGAAAGATATAGCATATTTATGGTTTGGGAGAATCAATGTCATAAAGATTTCCATTTCCCCCACTTTTATCTATACATCTTTATAATTATAATGCAAACAAGGTATTTTGTTTCTATTTCATGTATAGTCCCATAAATAGACTTTTCCTAAAAATTATCTCTCCACTGACCATAGTAACTCAGTTTCCCAAGTTGACAGAATGCTTATCTTTTTAAAGCACATATTTTTATCATGGGATTTTCTTAAAAATTTTCACTGACTCCTCAAAATTTTCAGGATAAAATTCAGAATCTCAGACAAAGCTCTCAGACACCCTGTGATAGACTCAAGTGTCTCCAGTGGCTTATGTTCTGCCTTCTCTCACAGGTAACTAGGACTCTGAAATCCTGTATGTGTTATTGAAACTTGGAAAGTGTCTTTTACATGGGGTTTAGTGCAAGAGACATTTGGATCTAGTCTGAGAGTACTACAGTCAGACAAGCTGAGTGGTATTTATCGAAGTATATCATCCAAGAGAGTCTCTGACACTAGTGGGGAACTATGAGCTCCATAAATTTAGTATAACTTGATAAATCATGTTCTGATATATACAAGGGAACAACTTGATGATACTTCTTGATATAATTCTTGGATAGTAATTTAAACAATTGGAAACTTCCATAATATGTCCCTATGTAAATTTTAAAATTGGAGAGTTTTGTATAAGCAGAGTGGTTCTTTTCAAAATAGTAAATAGGAGAGTAGGAATGAAAACATTTTTAGGAAAAGCATGACATATGAGTTCAGAGACCATTAAGGAAAACATATATCTATACATACATACATATGTACATATGTATGAGAATTAAAAGCAAGAAGAGTGCTATCAAACTGAAAATGAGTGAATAATGTTGATTAGCAAATGAACTCAGTGAATGACATTGTGTAGAGATCAAAGAAGAGAAGTGGTAGAGCAGGGCCTTCCCCCTTGGTCTTTTGCTTCAGCTCACAGATTTACACTGGAATGCTCCTGGGTTCTGAATCTGATGTGACAGAAGTCAGAGAAAGATGGGATAAAGAGATTAGTCTTAAAAGATTCATAAGTCCAGTGCTAGTCAGAAAAAAAAAGGTCCACCACAATACCTGACATTTTATCACTTAAAACAATTTTTATCTTAAAAACCAGGTTCTCTTTTCTTACTTCTTTTCATAAGGGCTTGGTAAAAACAATTGAAAAACAATTCAAAATGCCCCCATTAGATATATGGCCCAAATCATTTTAACAACCAGAAATATTAGACTTTGAAAAATGTTTTTATTGCATTCACATGAAATTTATTGTGAAGCTCTTTACTTCTCTAATGAAAGTATATAAGAAGAAAGAGTATAAATTTAGTAGATTCAATTAATAACTACTTTCCCTGGAAATACCTGAGTATTTCATGGGAATTGACAGTGTCTTTGGTAACTGCCTAAAAAGTGCTCACATTTCTAAGCCGTCCAATATTGTGTTAGATCATGTGAAAATGGATGAGGAATGTTAGAATGTAAATTTTTAAAAAGATCAGAAATTAATGCATTAACATTAAAATAATCCATGAGTTATTAACTCAACTTGGTATTTGGGATCTATGGGATTTCTGTTTTAACCACTGAATTAACACCAATTTGAAGGTAATGTTTGTGGGTTGAGTCCTGTGACATTCCATGAAGTAATCTGTGTTCCAAGCACCAGGTAGTATGTTACCGGAAGCTTACTTAGCATAACTGAAGTTTGTACGAATTTCATGTGTGTATCAAATTTACTGCGTGGGTTACACAAATGACAAATGTATTGAGTACATTCCTCAACTGCCACAACTATTCTCCCACACCCACACACATCTCTAACCACAATATCTACAAAATAATGGTATTGTATTATCTGCTGTTTCCTAAATTCCAATAAAATTATCATTTCATTACATTTTGGGCTATTAGTAAATAATACATACATACATACATACATCTATTTATATTCCTCCACTTTTATAGGAAACTACCTCTAAATTTTATCTTATATTTTAATTTACATTTTATTTGTTCTCACTTTTAAGGAAACACTTAAAATAAGTATTGGGCTTATTTTGCAGGTGAAAACACTGAGGCTTGGATTGATTAAGGACCATGACAGATTTTTCTTGAACCGGCTTATGTGGATTTGTGAAAAGAAACCACATTTTCAATCCTTTATTCCATGATCTTGTTGTTGGCTTAAGGGTTTCCCTTTGGCTATTCCCATTAGCTTAATGGATCCCCATAAGAAGGACAGCTTTTAATTAATGAACTACTTAGCAACTGCCATTTTCTGTGTGCCTAACACCTCAATAAACCAGGCATTATCAGTTTCTTCTTCCATGAATCATTACAACTATTTAAAACATTCATATGCCCATTTCTTTGAAATTATTTTTTATCCAATGAATATATCTAGATTTTAAGATCCTTCCAAGGAGAGAATTATTTATTGATGGATTGTAATGTTTTGAATATAATTGTTACTCATAGTTGGTACCACACCTACCTAATCACATGAATTTGTACTTGATTTACTACCTCTCCTTCCCAGGGCCTGCATTATTTCAGTGGTAAACTGGCCTGCATTAAATCGTCTTCTGACTAAAAGGATAACTAAATCAAGTGTATTTGAAGTTTATAATTAATTATTAGCACATATTTAAAGATATATGAAGAAGAGGTTTATTTCCTTGTTTTTACCTTGAATACTCTTTAGACCTGTAGAAAAAGTTGCCTTTCAAAAATTTACATTTCCTTCAGAGTTAGGAACAAAAAACAAGAAGAATTTTAAGCTGTAAAGTTCCCAATGAAGGAAATAGGTTAACACCAGTCCCAAATAAAAGATGTTAGACTTAGGTGTTTCAATCTCAAAAGAATTTATGGGTTACGTCTTCTTAGACTAAACTTCATAGGATGGGGAGGGACTGGGTTTTCTGAAATAATTTTTTTAATCCTTTTGTTCTATGATACAAAGAACAAGGGAGGTAAAAACAGAAGGGCTTTCCATTTAATTTAAAACTAAAACACAAAACTACATACAATGGTTATGTAGAGTAAGGAAAAAGTGTTTAAAGATTACAAAAGCATGGATGCAAAATTTTTAAAAAAGTCAGTTGCCCCAATAGCCTGTTTAGAATGGAAATATATTAAAATCCTTATAGGTGGGGGTAACACTTACATAATCGTTTGAGTGTGCTTGATTTTGAATGATCTCATAGTAAATGTCCCAAAGAGCCCACAAATATACCACAAAGGAGTCACTTTACATCAGGACTTATGAGTAGCAACTGTTATTGAAAGAAAACAAATTTCTGTTCAGGGAATTTGAACCACTCCAAAGGATTTAATGACTTGCAGGGGTTTGTAGGTCAGTCACATCTGTTCTGAAATGAAATCCTTCTTCCTGTTTCCAAATTGACTAACCCTTAACCCCATTAGCCTCCTCATCTTAAAACAAAGATTATTCCTGTTTCATTAGCTGTGTAACAGTTGGGGTCTTTATGTTTATTCTAGCACATGGAACTCATCACAATTTTATTCTTCCCTTTTTGTCAGCAGTAAGAGGGAAGAAACAAAAGAAGAACAAGAGCATACTGTAAGTAGATCCATGTTAGGTTCAAAGGTGTGATTAGGATGTCTCATCCACAAGGATACTTGTGGAAAATAAATGTAATTAAAATAATAGCTAGCACCTTTCCAAGATGGAGAGTTACCTGGGTTGTTTGTTCTCTTTTTTTATCCTTCTTTCATTCATTAGATTTTCATTTTCTGCTGAGTCTTCACTGTTTAAAGGGAAGGGAGCTAGCCTGTAAGTGAGGGAGAAGCAAGTCCATAACTGTCTCAGAGGATTGTATCCCCTGGAGTGTAAGATTCAGAGGCTTTATATTTATGCCACACCAAAGACAAGGGAGACAGGTTTCATTCTAAAACCTTATTTGAAAATGCAACAATTAGTTTCAAAAATTCTGAAGCGAATGAGAAAAATGAGTGCTATTTAAAATGAAGACAGGGAGAGAATCCAGTGACTGGAGAGGAATGGATAGGATGGAGAACTCACACATTTTGTAAAAAGGTTAGAGAAAGGTATGTTCTAAGAGAGAGCAGCTGCCTGGTGCTCACTTCTCCATCACATCTTTTACACAAATAATGAAATGTTCTGTAGTAAGAAATAAGCTCCCCCCCCATATTTATATGCCTCCCAGCTTACCTGTGAGTAGACAAGGTTCTGCCAGTGCTGTGCAGCAGGGTAATTTCCGCCTGGCAGTCTCATGAGGCTGGCCTGCTGAAAGGCTGGGCTCTTCATTAAAGACTTCACATCCAGCTGCAGGAATTTGTCAGGATGGTTGTTATTGGGCAAAACAGAAAGATCCATGTCTCCCTTCTCCTCAGTGGAAACAAAGCCAGGCAGAGCTGCTCCTGTCAGACTCCTCCATTATTAATGAGCCTGAAAATGCTCTGAGTGGCATGTGAAACCTGGTCTTTCAGCTGTACTCAAGCCATTCTTGAAATGACACATCAACTCACAGGAGCAAAGCAACGCACTCTCCTACCTTCATGCACACACATACACACACGCACATGCGCGCGCCACTGAAGGTGCTTGAATGGGACAGACGGGGCTGCACTGATTAAAATTAACAGGATGACCAAATTAGATAGCTATATCATTTAATGTCTCTCCATCCAGAATCTGAACTAACAATGCACGGGGGGCATTGTTTGTATGAAGGCGGCCAGATTCTCAATATTACAGCTCATAAATTGAAGCACAAGAAATAATCACCTGTATTGATTTTTCTCTTTGAATTTTTCTGAGGTAACACAGCTCCCTTGGCCCTGCCTAGGCAGCCTCACATGTGATACTTGGTATCTTGTTTCTTCTCATGTTTTGGCCACCAGAGTCACAAGCTCATGTGACACCCAACCAGTTTCAGGTTGTCAGCTTATTCTGAGTAGGGAAATGGCAAGAATTTGCTTTAGAGTTTGCTACAGTAATTTAGTGACCCATCCTCGGCCTTGAACCACTCATTATTGAGATACTTTAGCTTCTACTGCAAGCTGTCTGAGCTCCCGGTGATGTCTGGTGTTCACGTGGCATATTTGGAGTTACTGGGAAACATGGCTGCCAGGGCTGCTGTCTCCTGCTGAGACAGCCAAGGTGGGGGCGTGGCTTGGACAGTACAGCCAGCCAGCAAATGGTGATGACTTTACTGGAGAGACATGCACTGTCCTCACAAGACACTCTGCTTTAGGTGACCCCTATTTCTCACTGGGGAAGTAGAGAATTCCATCTGGAAGAAGAGGAAAATGTCCCACTTGTGAGAAAACAAAGAATAAATACATCAGAAGTGTCTAAGAGGCACAGATTGTCTGTTAATTTTTGCACGTGTATAAACCCCACTGATTCAGGGGAAAGGCTTCCCTTCAAGGGCAGTGAGGTTCCACAGGGAATGCATCAGCTTTAGATTTCAGAACAGTGGCATATCACTTACACCAATCCCCAGTCAGGATGGTCTTGAAGCAAGCAAGACCCCGCAGAGTTCTTACCTTCTTTATAGCAATAAAAAGGATGTGTTTTAACAAAAATCTGTCCTACTTATAGTTATAAAACTTGAACAGTTAACCTATAAGAAATTTTGGGACACAAATTCTATCATTGCTTACAATATTTGAAATATATTTTAGGTGCTTTTAAAATAAATTTACTAGAGAAAGTAATACATATGTTATATGAGAGTTAACAAAATAAACACCAGTATTTCAAGAATCAAGTTTATTATGTATATGTGCATGTGCTTGATATTATCCGGATTTTTCTGGCTGTTGCCAGCATATATCTAATGAACAAATATTTCTTAGAGTGCCTGCTTTTCCTAAAAGAGTCTTTAGGGAATATCACACATTTTCAAGAAGAACCTTACTTGTCTTTGGCTTTCTATACTGGCAAGGGAGACACATAACTTAGATCCAAATATATTTGATTAAGCCTTTTTCTTAGCCAAAGCATGAGGTAGGTGACATGAACTTTCAGTCTTCCTTAGGCATCCTTTCAGATTCCTCTACTATGCCCTGTGTGTCCAGAAGTTTTTATACTGTTGTTTCATTCACAGGTTTAGTCCCAGACTCTTCTTCTTCCATTGTGTCATCACTGTGAAAACTATCTTCACTGTTACCTCTGTAGGTAGCCTCTGTGACTGCAACCAGTCACATGTTATCCCTGTCTTCATCTACTACTTCCCCACACCTTCATCACAGTAAGCTTGTATCTCTGCTCACACCTGGAGACTTTCCTCTTCATACCTGCTGATGACCTCCTACTTATCCTTCAAGGGCCATGACTAAAACCTACCTCACATAAAAATATTATTCGATTTCCTTTTAGATATGAGATCTTTCCCTCCTTTGAAACTTTAGAGTTAATTATCAATTTATCTTACTATCTTTTGTTGGAAAATGTATTCCATACTTTTATGAGCCTCTATACAAGGTGACATTTTACAAAATGTCCATCTTACTTGATGGCCCCTGTCATGTGAGTCATGTCTGAGCATCCCAGTGAAATCCTTTGTTCAACACATAATGACTTCTGTTGTTTCCCAGTCTCTTAGGATCTAACTATTGTTGGAAATTGATAATCCAATTAAATTTAATTTAAAAAATGACTGCATGCTCTGTCTTTCAATTTTGTTCCAGTCATGCTCAGTGAAAAAAAAATGATATGCTTTATAGTTGCTTTGGTAGTTTATAATTCATAAGCTCATATCGAAAAGTTACGAGTTCTGCTTTGTTTATACTAACATTCTCTCGGTTTATTTGATCCCATAACACGTATTCTATTATTTTTTATTAACTATTAAAAATGGAATAAATACTGGCTTAGGGTTCTTATTCATTTACTTTCACTAATAGTGTAGAGTAACAGAAGATATATGAAGCCTCTCAACCCTTCCCATGCAGGTAATCATTTACTCTTTCTTTTCAGCAAATTTTTATAAAAATATCATTTTCCCATGGACTTTTTAACTCTCAGTTATTCCTTTTTATACCAGGGGAATTGAAAATATAGAGTTAAATATAAATTTCACTAGTTGAAAACTCTACATACTAATAATCCTTCCTAGCTTCCCTTCTTTCCTTTTTTTCTTTCAAAATTGTACCAGAAACCAACTGAAATATCTGAAAGTATTTCCAGCTGAAAACCCTGTACAATGTCCAGATGTACAGTAGAGTTTCATCACATTATCTGAGTTTGAAAATTATTTGGACCATTTTGGTTACAAAGCAAGCCTGTGATTAGGTTTTGTTAATCTTTATGCATCTATTATAAAATATTTTCAAAACAGAGAGGCCACCAGAGTAATTGAGTACACAGAATTTTAAGTCAGAGTAGTTCTATTTTTACAACTAAGTTGTCTATTGGGGAAGTTACTGAGTCTCTTTAAGGCTCAGTTTCTTAGGTTAAAACTCAAAATATTAATAGTATCCCACAAAGTGCCTTGGTTACTTTGCTGAGACAAAATACCCAACAGCCAAAGTTAAAGGAGGAAAGGTTTATTCTGGCTCACAGTTTATGGAGATTTCAGTACATAGTCAGCTGGCTCCAAGGCAGGACAGCATGCTGAAGGGGTATCACAAAGGCAAATCAGTTTAGGGGCAGTGATGCAGGAGACAGGTGCAAGCAGCAAGCCTCCTTTTCCCTTTTATCTCATCTAAAGACTTCTGGGTGGTGCTACCCACACCCAGGGTGAGCCTTCTCATTATGCACACAGAGAACTATGCTAAACCAATGAATTAAGAGTGTAATTCAATTATTACTGTATTCAGTTATTACACTCTTAATTGATATTCACACACTCTAGATCCAGCTACTTTGGAGAAGCACCACCTATAAGCATAGGAGGCTTGGTGGAGGTCATCTAGATACAAGCCATAACACAAAGTTATCTAGAGATTTGCTAGATATAGCAAATACTAACTAGATATAGCTTATTCTAAGCACTAAAAGTATTTGCTGTTATTTTAAAAGTGCATAGGAGTACATTTCAATTGTCTGCTATAAAGCAATTAAAAAAATGAAACATAAAAGCCATTTGGCCATCTGTATTTTAAAAGCAACTACATTCTCCATAATCTCCTTCCTTTTGTGATTTGGAGTGAGAATTTATTAAAAAAATGAAATTGATTTATGGAGATAAATCTTTTGGTAATGGGAAAGGGAGGAAGAGATGGAGAGGGGATGGGGAGGGGATTACGATGTGTTATATACATGGAACAACTCCCTACAATGAACATAATCACTCTAACACAGCCCTGCTGGTTGAACTATAATTATTGGTATCAGTAGTATTTCCATGGAATAGAATTTTCAAAATTGAATTTGAAATTTGTTTGCTGACATGACTAGATTTAGAGAATTATAACCTTGGTCATCCATAGCATGCAATAACTAAATTATTATTTAAATTCTCACACATAGTCACTTGAAGTATAATTTTTATAGAAGATAAAACACAGATTCATTAAGTATTTGTTGCATTATAATTTATTGAATGAAATAGGTTAATGACTATGGGATTAATTAGTTGCTTCCAAATGTGTTGGAAAACTAAGAGAAAGAAAATACTAAGATTATTCACAGCTCAAGGTCAGGTTGGGAACTAGAAATCTTCCACGAGTGTCCTAAAATAATCTCTATTAAATCTATTGCTAACATTTCTGAGGTTATATCCTTGCCATCTGTCATATTTTCTAAATCTGTTTCTAGACTTAGTACCAAAAATATCCAGGAGCACCAAGTAAAAAATGTGATTTGTGAGGTATTACCACATATAACAAAGAATTACAAGATGTTGCTAATTCATATTGGCTGAATAGTAATGTTCCTTAAGGGTGTTAGATTAGGGTAGAAAGAATAAAATGTTGGATTAGCCTGAAATTTTTTGGTATCAGTGTATTGGGGAGATTGAATCCAGAAATTCTGGATTCCATGCACTTGTAAGTAATTTTACCAACATGATAGAAAACTAGAGCAAATGATGGCCTACACTGTACAAAGTGGAGATCCTAGAACTTCCTGGTTATAATGTATTATAGAGGAAGGCAGAAGAGAATTTAGAAAGATTGCTTTTAATATAATAGATGTGCTCACTTATCTGTTAGGAGTCTTTCACCATTGCTCTAAAAAATATATGTTGAAGACAGCATTGGGACCCTTAAAGAACTCTGTATCCATATTGGAGTGAGATTAGAAAATACTGCCATAAAACTGGGCCTCTTAAATTTCTTGAGGAAAATGAAGTTCTAAATGACAGGAACTAAATGTCAGAATTTAGCTTCTAGAGGCCATGTGTTTATGATTACTATAAAGGGCAACAGAATCAAAGTGGTAAAGGGAATTACTATGGTCTAAATGCTAGTGTTCCACCAAATTCGTAAGGGGAGCTTAATACATAATGCCATAGTATTAAGAGGTGAAGATTTTAGGAGGAGATTAGGTCATGAAAGCAGAGGATTAGCATCCTTATAAAAG